AAAATCTATACAACACTTTGATCAGACTGTTTTCTGCCTGTATCAAAAGTTTGTCTAATGTTGTGTGATCTTTGGCAATACCTTCCTTCTTCCTATCCTGTGCAAACCATGACTGTATCTGTAAATAAGACCACCATTCTACTTGTACCCCTTGTGATGTCAATTCCGGTGGAAATATTTATTGAGTTCAAGCCCCACCTTAGCCATGACTGCGCCCTGCTCGGAGTCGGAACCCCGTCCAGGGTCCTCCACATCCTCCAGAGCCGACTCAGAGGGCCCCTCGCTGTCGGAGTCTGGTGGCAGCTCCAACGGCTCCTGCTGGGCCACAACACTAAGCTATCAGGAATGGCTGGAGATATCCTACAAGCCAAAATCAAACCACGTTGTGGCCTTAAGTAGAGTTCTACCGCTGCGCCTAGCCACTGTGATTTTGAACCAGTTTATAATAATGCCACCAACTCAGCTCATTGTAGTGAATAAACCATGGTCAAGAAAAACCAAGGGACACATCCAACCAATGTATTAGCTGAAAGGAAGACGGGAGCCTTTGCCATCCATTCCTGAAGGATCTCCTGAGGCATTGAGCTTAGAGGTTGGAACCTGAGGAGAAGAACATGGGGAAGTCTTAGTGAGCAGCTGATCTCAGCTGGACAATGAGGGAGAAGAAGTGGAATGTCTCCATTGTCTCCTCAGAGTTAGATGTGGTCCAAAACTAGCTACTAGATTCCCGAAGAGGATCTTCACAAATCATCCTCAACTTACAACCGCAATGGGGCCTGGAATTTCCATGGCTAACCCAGACAATTGTTCAGCGGGTTGCGTCCCGTTTTTGGCACAGTTAAGTAATCGCTGCAGTTGTTAAGTGAATCTTGTGGTCATTAAGCGAACCTGGCTTCCCCCGTTGACTTTGCGTGCAGAAGCCAGAAGGTCACAAATGGCAGTCACGTGCCCACAGCTGCCATTAATACATGCCAGCTGCCAAACACCCTAATTTTGATCACGTGACTGTGGGGGATGCTGAGATGGTTTGTAAGTGTGAGAAGCGGTCGTAAGTCAGTTTTTCAGTGCCGTTGTAATTTCGGACACTCTACAAAGAGTTGTAAGTTGAGGATTATCTATCCAGCTTCACCTGCTGGAAAAGCTCCACTCGCTAACAATAGTCTCCCTTCCTCACAGTAGGAACCTCGGTCCCTGCCTTCTCCTGGCACTGGTGGTACGTGGTGATCGCCGTGGCCACTGCCGTGGCAGCCACCATCTTCATTATCATCTTCTTGGCACGTATGAGGAAGAAGGAAACACGCTACGGGTAAGGCAAACGTGTTCCTCAAGAAAGGCCACCCATTGTTTAAGCCAGAGGTCCCCAAACGTGGCAACTTTAAGACTTGTGGACTTCAACTCCCAGAATTCTCCTGGCCAGGAGAATTCTGGGAGTTGAAGTCCACAAGTCTTAAAGTTGCCAAGTTTGAGGACCTCTGGTTTAAGTCTTTCATCGCATATGGGGGTGGGGTTCTCATGGGGGGACCAATCAGGACCCCATTTCATGTTTTCTTTCTACTCAGGGAAGCATTTGAACCCAACATGGAGCAGGGAGAGCTGGTGGTTCATTATCGCGCCCGCAAATCGTACAGCCGCCGGACCACTGAAGCTACTTGTGAGTTCCTCTTCCCCACAAATCCAACGTGTATCAGGGCGGACAAGTTCACCCGAACCAACAGTAAAAAAAATGCTACCGTTTCAGGCGAACTGGTAGCTCCAACCATCAGTTGCTCAACGATCAGCTGTGCCGCAGGATGATTGTTGCATGGCTGATCGTCAGAATGTTTAAAAATGCTACCGGTTCGGGCGAACTGGTAGCTCCAACCATCAGCTGCTCAACGATCAGCTGTGCCGCAGGATGATTGTTGCATGGCTGATCGTCAGAATGTTTAAAAATGCTACCGGTTCGGGCGAACTGGTAGCTCCAACCATCAGCTG